AGCTAATCGCTTTGACAGTTAAAGTAACATTTTTGTTTAGTGTTGTCTTTAGGCAGATGTATACCTACTATTTTGAAACTGAGAGAGTGAATTTTATCAAAGGTCATAATTACTGGTAATAAGCTGATGCGATATTATGCTACCCATGCGAAGCTGGAAATGTCCCTAGTGTAATAATAAAGTTGTAGAAAATATGAAAAATGAGAATCAAAACTTCTTATGGTAATTATCATTTTTCTCCTGTGACGTAGTAACGGCTACATCCATCAATCTATTGTACTAACTGTATATCTATCTGAAATACTTCAAATGCAGAATATCATTGATGATTTTGTAATTGTGGAAGTTGAATCACTCTGTAACAAACTTGGCTCGTCCGCAATGTAACGGGGTTTACTAATTCTGCATTTCTATTAGTTTTGTATGTAAATGCAGCGGGGTGTTTCTTGATTTTGGGTTGAAATATACGTAGATTGAATTGAATTAACAATCAGCGTGTTAATGAAAATTACTTTACATTGGCGATGAAATTCATCGAATAATTTCTCTTCAGTTTATGCATATACATGAAACAGTTTTGCGAAAAATCATTAGGTCCTCACAATTTTCCGTCTAACTCAATTATGCAAAATCGATCCTATTAATTCATCACATTGACGTTACAGTTTTTTTAGGGAATTTGCTTCTTGGATTAGTGCCGAATTTATTTTAATGCAAAACGATTCCTTAATACAATATACAATGGATAGAATTTGAAAGTGCATATTGATGTTTTTCTTTTCTGTGGAATAATATAAAAAAAATATTCGAAAAGCATTTTATGTAAACAAGTCAATGTTTCTTACCTTTTATCGGGTTTATAACCTTCCAAAATCTGAAAACTAAACAGCGGAGTGAGTCATAAGATAATCTGCTGAAGTGTGGTGAAGGATAAACTGAAAAGTTCACCCCGGAAATGTACTGCTTAACATGAACCAATAATAAAGAGTCAATTCAATCAGTAACTTCTTTCTTCAGGTGATTAACGTTTTGTTAGCATCAAACATCCAAAGATAGCTAGGTATAGATAGTTCATTTTTTTCATTGAATATTCAATTTATGTGGACTTTCAGTGGTTTATAATACTTAGTTACTTTTCAGGATGGAATTTTCAGTTTGCATTTATTACAGTTCAGCAGATTCTTTATTGACTAAGCTTTGTTTGTTTTGTGTTGCAAATGAATCATTTTCAGATTATTTAAGTTGTCGCAAACAGTATGCAAGAATAGGAAATGGAATCAGCGAAGAGAAATTTATGGAATATGGAGTACCACAAGGTACAGTGCTAGGACCACCACTTTTTTCTTTATATATAAATAGTTTACTCACGATCCATGGAAATACAGGTCAAAGTGTGAGCGTAGATGATGACACTGCCATTCTATACACTGCAGAAACCTGAGAAAGTCCGAAAATAAAAATGGAAAACGATCTGTCAAATATTTTTAATTGGATTGACTTTAAGTTATTATCCGTAAATTTTAACAAAAGTTTTCATATACCTTCCTCGAGTTATAGATCCAACTTACCTAAATTCAAAGAATTCATATTGAGATAAACCAATCAACAGATTACCATCGAACAAGTCCGATATCTAGGGGTTACAATCGATTGTCATTTACGATGGAAACATCATATAACTGAAAGTTTAAGACCCCACGCGCAATCTACGATTTTTGTGGGTAACATGTATTTGTAAATTTTTTCAGTGCGAATAAACGTTATTATTATTATATAGATTCAAATGCTTCAATAGAATATTTGATATTCGTTTCCCCAAAATCCTATATTATGCTCTTGTGGAGTCACAACTGTGATTTGGTATCCTCAGCTGGGGTGGTGTACTTAATACACACATTCGACCTAAAGTCACTGATACTCCATAATTGAAAACCGAAATTCTTTCAGATGAAGAGGAATGAGATACTCTGAGAAAATTTCAATTTCACATATGCAGGAAATTTTCTGTGAAGATTCCTGCACTGACGCCCGTCGGATATAATTCAACGCCGTTCGTGGTATTAGCCAGTGGAGTAGTTGTTTTCTGATAGGCGTCAGTCCATTCAACCTACTGTGTAGGTATATCCAAAACTGGCTTGAACATTTAACTGTTGTATCTTGAAATTCGACCTAACATTTGGGATTCTCTGAAATTATCTATTAAGAGATATTATCAGGTTAAACTGCCCCATTTCATACTTTGCTGGAGAGAGAGCTTTCCATGTATGTATCATACATAGATAGTTGCCATTTGATATTTTGAAATAAGAGTTGAACTTATTTATCCAGAAGGTTTGAACGAACAGGTTCACTTCTCTACAATTCTGGTAGAAAAAATTTGACATTTCTTGATACATTTCTTTCATTTCCGAAATATTCCCAACTCCATCACACTACACAATAACAAAATAAATCTTATCCGTGGCACAGCCGAAATTTGAATGTTATGGAATACTCCAGTATTTTTTTCAACTCTATTCTATCCATATTCGAAGTAGTGATGATCGAAAAACTCAAGAATAACTTTCTCAAATTGGAGAAAATTTTTAAAATTAATTTATATTGTTTCAATAGAGTCAATATTTAAACAAAATTGGCATACAAAACTCTGTGAAACTATGTATAATACAGAATAAGAAAAGAATCTGCACTTTTGACAGTTTCGGTTTTTGAAACTTATCTGAGAAGATATGCAATATGCTTTTTTCTGTATTGTTTTCGTTCTCATACATAAATGTTGTTTACTAGAAAAAATATTCAAGTAATCTGTCTAAAGACTGTATCGAGGAGAGATACATAAATACGAAATACATATTTCAAAATTAAAACTTCGAAATATTCATCTCTTCTATGTATGTCTCATCTTAATACAGTCTTCAGATGAATTTTTCATCAGCATTCAACGTCCTGCGTGCTATTACCCGCGCAAAAAGTTGTTTACCGGCTGGCATTCACCAGAACCTACAGTTAAGGTAGTTGGGAGAGACGAATATTTCGAAATTTTATTCAGGAATATTTATTATCTTTTGGGAAAGAAAGTTTTTGGCTTTCTACTACTCCATCTGATACAAAAAAAATGGATGAGAGAATCTTCCAAAGAAAGGAAGGA